CCTCAGCCTTCCAAGTAGCTGGAACTACAGGTGCGTGCTACCGCACCCGGCTAGTTTTTGATTTATTGTAGAGACGAGGTCTCGTCAAGTTGCCCCGGCCGGTCTCGAACCCTCAGGCTCATGCAATCCACTCACCTCGGCCTCCCAAAGTGCAGTATTATAGGCTGAGCCACCGAGTCCGGCCAGGGATGTCATTTCTAAGCAAAGTATTTTCCTTTTGTATTTACATATTTGAAAATCAGTTGGCACATTTAACAAAAAAGATTCTTCTCTCTCTTTTTTTTTTTTGAGTTGGCGTCTCACACTGTCGTCCAGACTGGAGTGCAGTGGCTGTTCCTGGCCACCACAGCCTCGACCTGCTGGGCTCCAGCGATCCTTCCACCTCAACCTTCCAAGTAGCTGGAACTACAGGTGCGTGCTACCACACCCAGCTAGTTTTTTGATTTATTGTATAGATGAGGTCTCGCCAAGTTGCCCAGGCGGGTCTCGAACCCATAGGCTCTGGCAATCCACTCATCTCAGCCTCCCAAGTCACGGGATTACAGGCTGAGCCATTGAGCCCAGCTTCTTCCACAGTTTTTTACCCCATGGCCCTGTATTAAATTTATGTAGGCTGTTTCAATACCACGTATGCATCCTCATTTGATGGAATAACTACGTTTAAAAAGAGAAAGTAAAATTTTCAAAAAGACATGTATGTGAGCTTAGAGAATGCTCTCATATACTTTTTTTCAAGGTTTCCTGGAAGAAAAGGTTTCCAGTAGCTACTTCTATGAAATTAGGGGGAAAAATTGATACATGGTCTCAAGATTAACTTCCAAGAAAAGTCCTAAATTAAGTTTCCTTGCAAGTTTCTAAGCACTTGGAACCCTTTGAGGACTCTGGGTTGAACAGGCCTTCCCACAGCTCCTTGGCTCCAAGGGCATCCAGAGCCAGAGGGGAAAGACTTTGAAAAGGTTCCTTAGCCAGTACTTAAAAGGACCAAGCTATGTGCATGCCTCACTCTGAGTTGTTTATTATTTTACTAAGAAGCATTTTTGCAAGTGGTTCCAAAGCAGCTGCTTGTATCTACAGTTTCTACACATCTATGATCATGATTAGACTACATCAAAATGACCCTGTCAAAGTGTCAGCCTTTCTGCTTTTTAATTACCAGGTGCACAATAAGCAATACTGTGTCCTATCCTCAACTGGGATTGTGGTCAAGGTGACACATTATTTTCATTATTTGGAGAGGGAAAAAATGCTAAAGTTTATTGGAACTTTTAGATTGGGTCAAAATATTCCCGCATTAAAATGATCAAGTTGCTGGGTTCGGTGGCTCAGCCTGTAATCCCAGCACTTTGGGAGGCTGAGGCGAATGGATTGCCTGAACCCGCATGTTCAAGACCAGTCTAGGCAATTTGGCGAGACCTCGTCTCTACAATAAATAAAAAAAAATTAGCCAGGTATGGTAGTGTGTGACTGTAGTTCTGGCTACTTGGAAGGCTGAGACGGGAGGATCGCCCAAGCCCAGCAGGTCGATGCTGGGCTGACGTGAGTGTGCCACTGCACTCCAGCCTGGGCAACAGAGTGAGACTCCAACTCCAAAAAAAAAAATGACCAACTTGAAACAGCTACCTCAAAATCCCTCTGGTCCTGAAATATCTGTGTCAGATTATCTGTATCATATCCAGTATCAAACATGACTGAGTAGAGATTGTGTCTGTATTTCTTCCTCTGTTTAGGGCTTTTACTTAAGTCTAGGTAAGTACTATCTAGGTAAGGAATGTAACTGGCTACTGGACTTGAAGTCGCTGCCACTATGTGCTCATGGAAATTCTGAAATACAGGTAATGAGACGGGAGGGGATAGGGAGAATAAAATCATTTGTTCAGAGAAGCAGGATTTTGTTCAGTTCTAGTTCATATGTGATGGTTTTCGCAGAAGTTTTTGTTATCTACCAATAATCACTCCCACAAAATACTATTTCTTAATCTGTTTCCGAGTCTTCATGTTTACAGACCATATTCCCACTTTTTTCCATGAGTATTTTGTTGACAAAAGAGGCATTCAGGAATGTGACTTCTTTAACACCATCTATCTTAATTTAT